TTGGTCCGTTGGTCCGCTTCTTGGTCGGCGGGCCCAAGGAGCAAAGGGCATCCGCTACTAGGAACGATCGGACGCTACGAACAGGGCGAAACTGGCCTTAGCAGGAGCAAGAAGCTACTAGGAGCTTTTGGAAGAAGTAGACCCAAGTGGCTGGATGGAAGTGGATGGCACCACCTGTTTGATGAGTCTATCTTCTGGTCGGATCCTCGCACTTGACAGTCCTACTGAGTTGGGGTTCTTTGCAAGAAAAGACGTGCCGTTTGGATGCCATAGATATAGGGCCAAGATTCGTAAGCCAAGCTATTCCAGAATCCACCTCAACCCTTCCCAAAGCAAAGCATGAGACTGAAACACGGGTGCCCAGAGCTCCCGCGAACCGCGCCTACCAAGCAAGCCTTCTTGGCACCGGTGACCTTAGCGCTGTTTGCCAAGAGCTGCATGGTCTCTTTGCCATTGCTGCAGCATGCGGTGTTGCCCATGGCCGCGGCGTTGCCCTGTTGTACCAGTGATTGGCCAAGTAAGCGAAAAATAGGCTGCGAGAAATGCAAATGGGAGTCCTGAAAAACGCCCAGTGAAACTTCGACAGCTCTTGTGATGACCTATTCTTTTGCAAACCAAAACCAGGGTCTACAACCAGCAATTATATACCTAAAATCATCCCACTTCATCCCTTGATTCATTATTAAGATTCTGAAGCGAGGAAAACCATCAACCCACGGGGTCATACATCTGGGGCCATCCCACGTGACATGTAGAGGTTGCTTCACCCAGCGATTCGCGCTACCTACATCCACCCACGTGACTTTCTGCTTTCATGAAGTTGACCCACCTCTCAGTCATCGTTTCATCCTGGATAGTGTAAAACTCACACGGGTAATTACCCTGCAAAAGGACACACACCGGGTTCTTCCGTTCGTGACCGAACTTGATCCCCTGGTTTGAGCTCACTTGGCGATTCCAAGATTACTTTGAAGAATTAAGCTGGCACATGGTTTTGTCCTAGCTATTTCACCGCATTATTTCACCCACAGAACCCCGGCACAAACACCGTGCGAAACGACAACACCTCTTTCGGGCACCCCTGACGTGGCGTAAAGAGAGAAGTCGCTGGCCCGCAAGGAGCCACCAGGGCCTCCTGCGAGATCGGAGAGCCTAAAACTCCAATTCCAAAAATTATTTTGGGGTAGGCTCTCAGTCTATTGGCGAGCGACTATGCCCTGTCTTGGGGCCATTGCAGCTTTTGCTATGCTGAGGTTTGGGTGACAATCCACCTCCATTGCTCTCCATTGCTGTGATCTAGGACTATGCTGCAGCAAATTGAGCATTGAGCGTTTAGACAATAATTATGTTCTGGTTCTTGGTCAGTACCATTATGTTCTCTACTTGAACATGACTTTTTGCAGGTAAAGAACCGGTCCATCGATATAAATATAAATAGTATGTATCTACTAAGGGCACCAGCCCGAAACTTGCCGCAAAGGATGTTTCACAGGCGGATTTTTCCATCGGTGGTTTCTTGGATGTGGCCGTTCCACACCGGTCCAAACACATGGCCCCCGGTGGCAGGCAGAGTTTCGGTTCCCGGTGTGACATCGAGCTCAGGCGAACAGGCGACCGGTGACATGGTCAGACGAGTTCAAAGGAACTGGTGCAATCCATTTTGAAAGAGGTCTGTTTTCAACGAGGCACACCCAACAGACTGCATGTGATGCCGACACAAGTTCCTGCTCATATTACAGCTTTTGCACCACCAAATTCACAAACAAGTAAAACCATTAATTGACACAACAGCTGAAAAGCTAGCCCAAATGGCACGTCAAAACAGCTCACTTTCTCACTCCCTTCGCTTCAAAAAGCAAAACCGCCTAGTCTGTGCTGAGCGGTTGGACCACATCCACCGGTGTTTTCCAGCTCGTTTCATCTTCGGATCTCCTTGGAATGGTGCCCTCTCTGGGAAGTGTAAGGCCAAATGCCATGTGGTCACCTGTCCCACTCCGCATGGCGCGGAACGACCGGTCGAACCGGTGTTCGCTCGTGGGAACTGCGGGTCCGGGTGTTGCTGATTGGTTAGGCGAATGGGGTATCAAACGGGAAAAGCTTGCGGCATGGCTTCCTTAAAGTGTCTGTATATATATATATATGTGTGTGTATACAGTATATGCAAAGGTGTATAGTGCATGCATGTATTGATTGTACATGATTGTACTGCATCTGTCCGTGACAAATCATGAAATCATGTCTCATATCCGTGAGTCGACCGGAAAAAATGAAAAGCCATCCCTTTGCGTGTTGGTGCTAAAGATCCAGTCGGACCTTCGTTTCGAAGGTGGCACTGGGGTGGGTGCCAGGAGGGTCCAGTCATACCTTTGGGAGGCACGACTGGATCGCGTCAGGGAGACTGAACCGTTGATGCCCACGAAGCTGCGGGAGGGGCCACCAGTCCACCCGCCACCATGCCTTCATTCACCCCCTTCGGCACCCATGTAGTGTAGATCCACTAATGATTCATGTTCTCCACAATCCCAAACACTCAGGCTTTGGAGGCACTAACGCGCAAACATCGCGAAACACGTACGTCAACTTAATGACCAACAACCAACCTCATCGTCCAGGTAGATCTCCACGTTCTCAACCTCAAATAGGTCAACTGTGTCCTTGAATTGGACACCCTTCAAAGTACCCAAACATGTTCAACCAAATGCCTTTGATGCAATCCCCCTCATTGAAAAAATAACATCAACATACATCAACTATGTAGGAGTGGGCCTGACCCTGACGGAGAAAAAATCATGAGTTGTGGAAAGGGAATTGCAGGGCGGAAGAGGATACGTTTGTCGGGGGACTGGAATTGAGGAAAGTTGAGGTATTAGTCTGTATAGGCACTCATATGGTAACTGCTCAGTGGTGCTTAGCGGAACCCGGCAAAGAAGGCTGGGTCACAAAGATGCACAAGGGTCCCTCCCCTATATGATCCTATATGGGGCAAGAACTTACTCTCTGGTCAGTGGCTCCTTATGTAACAAGTGGATTCTTAGGCGGCTATTTCTCAAACTCTCATCTTGCGAGACATGATCATACGGACAACTTGCAACTTGCACCAAACTATATACACTGGATCAGCCTAGCGATGGAGTGCGCCCAGCCCAGCCTAGCTAAGGCATGCTAAGGCTATTGCGGCTTTGAGGGTGGGAGACTTCTTAGCTCCGTGCACTTGTAAATGTTTGGCATCTTCTATCTCTTCTATCTCTACTGTTCGTTTCCTGCTTATTCTACCTACGCCACGCAACAAAGAACACGAACACACACGAACACTCTTTCGATCTCTTTCGCTTTTTCCCCAGGCATTTTCACACTATCTCCGCAGAGCTCGTTCCCGCCATTGGAGGCCCAGCCGCGGGCTTCCGCGTGACATCCGCCAAGCACCGCTGAACGAGCTTCACCACTGCAGCATTCTCCATGGAGAGCGTGTTCCGAACACGGTCCCGGAAGTGTGGCTGGAATTGGAAGGAACGCGGTCTGGGTGACTTCCGGGAAGGTATGACACTCATAGCACAACCAGCCACTCATAGTACTCGTGGGCTGGGCTTCAGGAGTTAAAATCGATTTCTCACTGTTCAAGCATGCATCCTGGGCAATGACTTTGGCAATGACTCAAGTCATCTTAAGTCTAACAGAGTCTAACAAAAGCCCTGGGTGATGTGACCCTCTTTTATAAAGGGAGCTCTCTTCTTCGCTAGGGTTAACCCTGAGAACCCCCCCGTCCGACGCGTTGGAGCGTTCTTTGCTGCCGCTTGGGTGTGCCCCTGTCTGCCGGATCCACCGTCCGTTGAGTGGCAAAACAACCTCTAAAGCCGTGGCAGTTGGAGGCTGGAGGTTTCAGTGGCGAAGCCCCATCCAAAGCGTTCACTTGATACATATATATATATATAGCTTTGTGCCAAAGTTTCACGTGGCTAACGACAGAAACAACTAAAGTCTTTGTCCGGTGGGAACTTCCGCTGTTTTCGTGTCTCGCAGGCTCTTGCTAAAGTTCGCTCCAATGTTGGGAGATGCGCGCCTATGTGCGCATGGATCACGCGTCCCGTTACGATGCAGCCAATGCTGAAGCCAAGCAAATTGCAATGCAGTCTAGCATGTGTTTCAAAACGGACAACGAATGACGGGTCACAGCATGCTACAGCTAGCTCATGGTTCTACCGCCAGCTGTGCCTCCACAAAATGCGCGCCCTGGTATCCAGTTGTACGAGCCTTCTTGAAGTGGTGAGTTTGTGGTTCTGACAAATGCCAGCAATCCACAAGCAAATAACTCTGTCAGTTGATTCCATTTGCAAATGCTTGAATTTAAGGATCTTGGACCTGCCCACAGCCACACACAGCAATCCAGAAGCCCTTCACCAAACCCCTCCTCCCAATACTTTTCCACAGCATCGCTTGGACAAAAGCACCAAAAACGACAAGTCATGCAGTGTTTCTTTTTGCTTTTGGCGTCTTCATGGCTCAGCTGAAGATGGCGTCGTCCCACTGAATCGCTGTTTCGCCCCACCTTTTCTGGCGACATTTCGCCAGTCAGGGGCTCTTTCGTGGGACACGCTTTAAAGTGCGGAAGCGGATGGCGATCCTGCGGATGCCCAGAGAATGAAGCGAGTACGATGTTAAAGTCATTTTGCACATCACCGAAAGTTGAACAATCAACAAATCTGCTTTCAGAGCCCCAAATCATCACTGCAACAACAAAGATCTGTAACGAAAGGTGCAATACCACCGCACAAGGCCAAAAACAAACAACCATGTGTGTCTGTGTGTGTGTGTGTGTGTTTGATCATGAATCATGCCATCATGCTCCTCTTTTCCCATCTACAAGGAGCCAAATACCAGCAATTCAGCTGGGCGCTTCCTGATCCCTCTTTTTGCCGTCTTTCCTTTGAAAGACCGGCCCGACCCGACCCGGGACAACGCCGGCCGCCGGCTCGACGATCGCACGGGAAAACGCCATCCGACATCTACCCGTACGCCGGCTTCACGGACACGCCCCAGGCCTCGGTCCGAGGAGGTGGAAGCCGACTCCACACCAGACGCCGCACCGAGAACATTCCAGACTCCCCAACTGAGCTGTGGAAGCTCTTGTGACACCCTTATACTCATTGCAAGCAAGTGGGTTTTTGGCATGGCTCAACGCAAATTCGCCCCAACAATGCCGGCGCCCGGCCATTGTTCGGTCAAGACGTGTGACCGGGTGCTTCGGAGCGATCGCGCCGGGACCGCGAGCGTCTGGCTCCGGTCCAACTGGTTTTTAGTGCAAACGAACCTGCACGCCCTGTCACAGCCCAAGGAGCTGAACCATGTGCTGCAAAGTCCGTGTCATCGATGCCATCCCCCCAGGTGAGAGGCATTTCCCACATCGAGTGAAAGATCCACCTCTGCTCGACGAGTGAGCCGTGCCGTGGAGTTCGAGTGGCCAAACAAACGCTGGTGCCGTGAATTCCTCGAAACAGGAAGAGTTGTGACCATGATCCTTTTGGCTATTGCCCCCCCTTTCTTCGGTCGACACTGGTGCTGATGCTGGTGCTGGTGGTGGTGTTGGTGATGCTGGTGGTGTTGAGGTTGTGGCCATTCACTAGACTCCTACCACTCCCGTCTAATCGGGTCCGACCGTCCTAAGTGGCGTAGGGTCGTCCATCGGTGACCGGAAGCTGGCAGGATGCAATCGTAAAATCGTGGGATTCATATAAATTTGATCATGAATATCCGGTCTCTTTGACACTTGCAGTTTACTGAGGGTTGGATTAAGATGGATTAAGTAATTTCTCCAATCAGTTGATAGAGAAGGCAGCTGGAAAACCAAAGAGGTTGATGCGCAATGATGTCCAGAATGCATGACATTGACAGAGTGCCCACATGCATCATCACAAAACCATCAGGAACTACCACGCGGACGCTTTGGGCCACACTAAAACTGAAGCCTCAAAGCTATTGGACTCGCTACATGAATGCTCGATCCCAAGGTGTCAAGGTTTAAGGGGGGGTCATAAGTCAGCAAGGGTTTGGGGAACTACTCCTCTGCAGATTAACATGGACCCCACGGGTCAATTTCCAGGCTCCATGGTATAGTTTGCGGGGAACTACCTGTTTCATGCCCACTACGACGCTATACTAGGTGGAGGCCATCGCATGTAAGTTGGAGGCCATCGCTACTAGTAGCAAGAAGCTACTATTTTTTCTCTTAGCTTCTTGTTACTAGTAGCTTCTTGTTCCTAGAAGTAATGGTCTCCAACCTTTTAATAGCGATGGCCTCCACCTAGTAGCGTCTTGTTACCCATCGGCCCAAAACTCGCCGGTTGCTCTCTTGCTCCCTCCGCAAAACATCGCGCCAGCTCGCTGGCGATCATATACGGTGGTGCTCTGCAGGGCTCGTCTGGTGAAGTCGCTCCAAGTGGCTCCAAACGCATCATCAAGCGCTCTCGCTGCAGGGCGTCCAGAATTCCACTGGAGAACTCGCGATAGCGGCTCTTTTGTGCATCAGTGCCAGACACCTTGGGGAAAAAGTCATGAGCGGCAGTGCTGCTGCAGCACCTGGATTTTTCTGTCTTTTGGATTCTTTCGGGGGATGCTCTAAATGTTTTCCTCTTTCGGGTTTAGTGAATACCTTATAATTAGTGAACCTACATCTCTCTGTATCCACTGGTTAGCTGAGACTCGTTCCCCCCCTCCGCTGGGCCAACGGGGAGTCTGATCGGGTCAGGTAACGGATTTCTGTCCATCCCTGCCTCCTTCAAAAGCATCGGGTGACAGGACACGACAACACCCGCCCCTGAAAAGCAGGAGAGAGCAAGGTTTTCGTCTTCCATTTACCCACCTTTGCGCCTTGTGCTAGGTATTGGCACGTGAGAGCGGGATGATGTGGACGCTGGTCAACACACTACCGTTTTGTAGCTAAGATAGTGGTTTACATGAACATTTCTGGCTAACTCTTGTTCAAAGTGGAGAGGTGACTTTTTCATCACACGGAGTGTTGCCCACGCTCAATGCAGGATCTTTTTGCATGGCATTTGGCCAGCAGCACCAGCAGCATTTAGCCATACCTCAAGTCCTCACAGCACACATCTCTACCCGCTGGCGCCCTCATAGGCTTGTGGAGAAGCCAGCCCTCAGCATGTGGCACGATTCTCCGTGGCATGTTTGCGTGTGTCGGGGTTATCCATTCTATGTTGGGTCTATCCTATTACCAGGGCACAGCGGATGATGTTTAGGTTGCAGGCCTTGTTCCAAAATAGTGATGTTCTTGTATACGGCTCCAGTTACAGGTAAGTTCGGACAAACCCAAGATATGCTGCATACTATACACAGCAACATGCATAGATACCCGAAAACCTCCGTGGCATTGTATTTTTGCGGAGGAAGAGGCGGCTGTTTTGAGCACATCCTGGGATTTTTACAGGTGTTTGTGTTGTCATGGTTCATTCTTGCACCTTGCCCTGACTGAAACAAAACTCATTCTGCTAGTAAAATCCTTGTCCATGTCCTTTATCACACTTGATGTTCTCCGCGCGACCCTGGAGACCACTTCGTCACCTGACTTAGCCACGCTTGCTACAAAACCCATTAGACTGGTCCAACCTTCCATGTCAAAGACGTATCGGACGCATCCGGAGACCGTATCTGGATAATGTTCGGCAAATGCTGGAGACCCGGAACGTGGACTGAGTGGAGATCCGAAGCAAATCCCAACGATGCTTCTTCCACACCACATGCCCCAACAATCTCCCAAAATTGCCTTCAGGGTGCCAGGCCAAATGCAGAGATGGTCTCGAGGAGGAAGAAGGCAAGCCAAGGGATCGAATGGTGGATGGTAAACATCAGAAAAGAGCCCACCCAGATTCCTCCAGATTCGTCACAGATTGACAGGGAAACATGTGGGGTTTCAACAGCTAGCACTGGCATCATTGGGCCAACATGAAATCTCTTTTGGTGAAGCTAAGCATGAGGATACGCTCAATCTACATCTCCTTATTGTTATATATTGTTATATCATATATTGCTATACGATGCTATATGTGTTTGTTTTTTCCCTTGGAACTTGGCACCACACCTCCGATAGTGTTGCACAAGGATAGCACAATTGCTGAGCTGCATGAGCCGCACAACATCCGAAAGCCCGGGGTCTCCACCCTTCGGGCCACGAGGTTATTGCAGCGAAGCAGCGATGGAAGGATCAGGAGACTGAAGAGCGGCGTAGTAATCAGCTGCACCATGGCATTCATCAGCAAATAGCTGAACAACGAAGGGTAGCCCATGGATGAGGCAGCAGTTTGGCAATCAGTGTGAAAATCACAACTGAAGAAATCCATCAACCCATAAAGCCAGCCGGGCCAAATGCTGATGAGGCATAGCTTCACGGACACGTGAACTTCTTGGCCTAGCAAATCTACGACGCTCTTCCGCAAGGGGCCATGTATGTAGGCATTGAATTGGTCCAACACTTCATGCTCATTAGGATAGCTGGTCACATGACGAATTGCCACAAAGGTTTCAGGCGAAATGAGTGTCTCCTCGCTTTCATCTGGCTCGGCTCCAAATGCCACAGACACGGGCGGCTCGAGTGCTTCATCGAAGAGGCTTAAGACATGCTCTTGGATCACAAAGCGATCGGACTCTAAAGCACACTCTGCTTGTCGCAGGTCAAAGTTTGCCATCTGATCCAGCAAAAGCCGATGTCGATCCAGCTTCGCCAAGGAAATCCAAGCCAAAGGGATAGCAAGAAGAAGCGCTGTGTGCCAAGGAAGGTAGAAGTAATTGCACATTGCCCAAAAGGGTGCCATGTCCGAATCTCCGTCAATGCGAGGCTTCGACTGGTATGTAAACCACACAATTGCCTGCGACCCCGAGAGAATGACAAGCAGGTTCTGCGGGACTTTGGCTTCTGTCATCATTCGAGCTTACAGGCTTCCTACGCAATAGAGCCTTTCGCAGGAATAATTAATCACACTTTAGATTAATTATGATTAATTACATATGTGTTTCTTAGAAGACCACTACTTCGATCACTGAACCACTGCAGTCCACTGCGCCGGGGAACGAAGATGCAACCAACCCCAAGTGAAGACAAGGTCCACACCGGCTCCCAAATAGGCAAGATCTGTACATGTCCAACCGTCTTAGCTGCAACCGCAAGTTCATAGTTGCACCACAATCTCCTTACTGGCCAAGGCTTGGAACTCTGGAAACACGCGTATAGTGCGATAGTGGGGAAGGAACTGAACAAATGGCTGGTCTTTAACAAGGATTTTCTTGGATAGCCAAGCTTCTTGAAATATGTTCCATCCACCAACAGAAGCATCTGCCTCGAATTTGCTACAAACGCCGGAACTGCTTGAAGCGTCACAGCCTTCTCTGTCGCATTGGCTTGGCTCACGCAAATACGATCAAACCAAAAAGACTTCCGGCAGATACACTGGCCCGAAAAATACGAGATGAGAAAAGTACCCATTGGAAAGCATATCAAAGCCTCAAAGAGAACGGCTCCGCTCTGCTGAGCTATACCATTAAAGCTTCCAGCGTGGAGTCTCAAAGTGAAGACACTCAGAATGCAAGCCAAAGTAGATGACACAATGGCAAAATCTAGGTTCAAATGATGGCACATGGCAACAACTTTTAACCAGGAAAAGCATGACCAGGAATGGCTGATGAAAACGTCAGCACTGGTCACGCTTGGCAAAGACCAAAGCGAATTCAAGTCCTCGGACGACACGAGACTGCAAAGGACTTGGCACGCCGAGGCAGCTTTGAAGAGCCCCTCTTCCTGCGCTCGTGATCCATGCTTCAGTACTGCGTGCATCAGCGACAGGAACTGAGTACACGGCGGGCGAAGCGGCGAAGGACGAAGACTTGAGCCATCTCGGCGGATGAAGCAATCTCCCCATCTCGGCGCCAGCTTAATCATCCCACGTCTAAATACAAATGGCATCAGCTTAAGAAACGACCCTGATGCTTTTTCGGTCTTTTGTTTGATGAAATAGAGTGCTGGCTAGGAAAACACTGTGCAAGCCCGGCTGGCTCCCAAACGACGGAGCCGGAAAAAGTGGAATAAAACACATGAAAACACATCAGGTACTGTATGTTTAAGCCGCTGGTGATTTGTGTTGGTGGCCGGTAAATGTAAACTGTGAAAAAAGAACAAGAACAACCAAGTACAGGACTAGGACATTAGAGGACATTTGCAGCAAATGCGAAAAGCACTTTAGGTGAGAGGTGACTTTGCAGGATTAGTAAATGGGGAGATCTGTCGATCCTTGGGTGATCTTCCCCACACCTCTAGCATTGAAGACTGATTTCTGGGCCTCGAGTGGCGTCCTCAGTGCTGAAAGTGATTGAACCAATCCCCAAATCATCCCATGCAGAGACATAGATACACTCCGACGAAACCCATCACATGGAAGTGGATGGGAACAGGCGGCCCCGAAAAGAGGACGACTTTGCCTCTACGAACAGGGGTGAGCTCCATGGAACCATGTGATGTATTCGTGCGTAGTGTCACCGCTAGTGGCACGGGACATTCCGTTCCGCAGGCGGCCCAGGCGCCAGAAAGCGCGCGATGAGGTATTCGCCTGGCTCCTGAGAATGCAGCCAGAACGTCGTAGATACATTGGGGTGGTGGACCTAGGGTCCATGTGGGCAGGTATTATGTCCTCCCCCTGACAGATGGAATGCCTTTTTGCACAATCAGAAATCACATGAAATCACCAACATTCCCCACAAATGAGCCCCAGAATCGGAAACTTTTGGTGTTGAATTTCGAGCGACTAAGAGCCAAACAAAATCCCGAGAGGGCAATTTTCACTGTTTTCCCAGTGTTTTAACATTTGACTAAACTTGGAACGCATGCGTATTGAAACCATCGAGGCCATGCACACGAACAAAGGCCATGCTGGGCCAACGGCGGCCAACGGCGGCCGACGGCGGCCGACGGCCCAAGGTGAGCGTTTTGGGCATCACCTTTTGAACTCTTTAGTTGTCCAGTGAAGAAACGTTTGCAAGCATAAAATATCGACTGACTGGTGCTTAGCAGGGAATGAGGGAATGGATCCAATAGGATCTCTATTGGGGGCTCATTCCCTTATTCCCTACTAAGCACCAGTCAGTCGAATAATCATTATGATTTGGATGAGAGTTCTTGTCAAAGGAAAAGGGGCCCTTCGATCTGGAAAAGGGGCCCTTCAACTTTTGATACGAGTTTAAAAAGGGATATATATATAATATATGTATATTATTAACATTTCCTGGACAACTTTTCAATTTTGAACCTCTTCACAGATTCCATCTTTGCGGGTCTCCCTGTTTTGGCGATTTTAGGAGACCCCCTATGAACCAAAACGATACCAAAGGGTGTTTTTTATGGACGCATGGGGCCGTGTTTCTTAATAGGTGGAAGGGATTACCAACCGGGTGCCGTGTATAAGATTGTATAATAAGCATCCATGTCCGTGTATAAGTGTCCTTAAGTCTGATGATCTCTGGAATGAGCTGGAAGGCAAACATTGTACGCAGTAGACCTCTCCAAGTTCTCCGATGTGCTTCACAGTGGTGACGGCATCAAATCTCTTCGATCGACATCCCAAACTTTCTTCTTGACTTCCGGAAAACATGATCAAACCATATCAAACCCTTAGAAGAAGTTGTCAGCAAGCTCCTGATCAATTCGCTGGTCCAGCAACGCCCAAACGCATCAAAACGCCAAACGACACGCGGCTAAACGCGCAAGAAAACCGCGCGCGCCGTGTGCAGCTCCTTAACATGGCCCAAGGTCACTGGTACCATAGCTCCTTCAGAGGCCTCACGCGCACCGAGCACCGTACGCTGCAGTGGCCAGGAGTGGTGGGGATGAGGAAAGAATGACATGCAGGTTGGGTATCCCATTACCCGTTTGCAAGAGGATGATGATAGTTACAGTAGTATGAAGGCCTTTTTCAAACATAGTTATATTTTATGATATTTTTTTGCCAGCCACATACAGCATTGACATGCACATTTTATGTGTCATTCTCCAGGACTTGCTTCTTCACCACTTGGCTTGGAACTGGATCTTGGCATTGCGATGTCCGCAAAATTTGTAGTAGTATTCCTAAATTAAAAGGCAAATGACAATAACGTAATTCAATTAAAACCAAACAGTTCAGAGTCCAGAGTCAAAAAAGAGTCAGAGTCAATGTTACAAGCCCTTCTGATATGATATTCTCTTGCCGACTGTTACTGGTAATGGGGCACATTGTGCATGGAGGGAGTTGTCAGCTTTCAGTGGGTTTAGTCAGCAGAGCAATCCTGCATTGAGGTGGAACTTCATTTGTCTCTACTGAACCACTTGGTGCTACTGAACATCCCTAAAGGGCGGGCTTTGAATTAGCATGAATTAGTAGAGACCCAACCAGGTGATTCCGGTTGTTTGGTCTCACTGCCTCTCATATTGTGTCTGCAAAAAAACCGCTGGAACACAGCATGATGGGGTCCATTTGCACCCCAAAACCGGACCAAAACCTGGCCATGCGAATCTGAAACCTTGTGACAGGTTCTCGACGAAAGTCAGTCAAGCCACTGCCAGTTGTAACAAAGGTGTCTCCTGGGCCGCCAAATAAAGTTAGGCTTGGAATAGGACAATCTCTTCAGGCGGAGTTGGGATGAGAATTCCCCCTGTCTAGGTTAAACAATAGATCGCAATAGCCGCAATTCAAACAGCAAGTTGCTCAAATGCAGGCTTTGGATGCTGCAAAGTGGGTGCTCTGTTTCAACTCAAGCATGCCATTGAGGGCCACTTAAAAACTGACAATTCATTCAGCCCCTGAGCGGAACTACTAGCAGTCAGGAACGTTTTGGAGGATGAAGTCTTGGCCGTTTGGAGGAACGTTGGAAGTGCTCAAACTGTACCAACCTTCTACTCTCCTTTCATGCAGCTTCAATACTTGAGTGGGCCACCAAACAATTCCGAAGTGTATGTTCATTTTTCAGCAAGGCGCCCCTTACTTGCACGTCGCCCTCGGTGTTCCAAAGCATCTGAATGTAGATTACGTATTTTCTATATCTATGCTATATCTTATTTACCTACCAGGACCTTCCAACAGGTGGTTTTTGGACACCCCTTAACCTCTAAGAGGCTATTTATAGACACCTCTTGGAAAATCATTGTATCTATCTTATCTATTATCCATCTCGCTGTCATGTGCTGACCTGCTGATCTTAGTTGGTTATCCATGCAGCAAAAGCAAGAAGGGTATCATAACCAAACGGAGGTGAAATAGTCTGCCCTGAGGATTCCTATTTAATGTTCTTTTGGTAAAACTGACGAAAACAGCACAACAATGCTACATAATGCTACTGCACTGCTAGTGACACTCCTGCCACCCTAAAACCTGCTCATCAATTTGCATGTCCAAGAATGCTTCACAATGGACTCTTGCTTAATAACCCCGTACCGTTGATGAAGTCGGAGTCTCCAGGCTCCAGAACCGAACCCCCCGTTCGACCGCTCCGCTCCGAGGCTCCAGAAGCTGCTTCATGGGCTCATCCCGGCCAAAGCGCCAATACATATTGTGAGGACTCAGAAGATCCGAGACCTGCCGGTTTGCCCGGCTGCAGGTATAGCTTTAGCAGCGATAAACACGGTGTGTTTGGGTTCGCCATTTAGCGAGTCATTGAGCGGCAATCAACACGGTGTTGGTAGAGAAAACTGGACTTCCAGGGGCCTGTCACCGAGCACTTCCATGATTTTCGGGGAGTGTTAGATGAGATGCTTTACTAAGGACAACATGCCAAAGGGATGCAAGTGTGTTGCTGAATGTGTTCATCTTCTCTTAGGAATCGTTCAATACGTCTTGAATCTTCACCTCCGGGTATCCGAGTCACTGAGCAGCCGGAAAATATCAAGGTCCCAACTATGCAACCACATGCTTCCAGGCAAGCCCCGCAGTTCCGACTTCCTTCTTGAATGTTTTTGCCACACCAACACAATGTATCCTGAAATACAACTTGAGAGAAAGCGGTGGAAGAAAGTTTGGTAATCAAGGACGGGTGACGGGTGGGTAGCAGCATTCTAGCAGCAACGGCAGCAGCAGCACAAGCACACCAACAGGGCAGCTGCAGACCAACTTTTCTACGAACGACCTAGGTCTAAAATGTGAGCACCAAGGCATGCGGCCTGGGTCATGCAGCCGGACCGACATGCAAATGTTTTGGTGGCCGTCTGGCCTGGATAACAGCCATCTGCCTTAGCAGGTATGGCTGAAGAGTTAGACGAAAGCTGGAGACTTCGAGAAACGACAAAGAGCGCTTTCGCAACCAAAAGCAGCAAAACAGCAGCAAAAACCATTGCTTGAACTGCTGCGTGAACTCCCACGCAAGCTCTCAGTATAAATAAGTGCAATATGTTCCACAAGCAGGTAGTGTAAATAAACGTCTCAGGTCTGAACGGACGTGCAAAGGAGAATGGGTCATTGATGGTCCTTGGTCTCTCTACCTGTCTGACTACCTGTCGGTAGCACATGATCATGAGGGAATGGCAAGCACAGAATGCAGAATGCATAGCTTGACATCTTTCTGACCACCGCCATAGCTTTCATCATGAACCCTCCAGTGAAACTATCATCACTTGCCAGTGGCACAGTCGTAGAGGGAACCAGCTGCCGCGGCGAACGGACTGTAGGGCAGTTGCAAACCACCCGGATTCATGACTCGAGATGTACTTCGGATGTTCTTGTTCGTATGGATGTTCTTATATATAGATGTTCCAACTGTTCACTGAGGCCCTTTTCCACAATCTTCGAGGTCTTCCATCTGGGACACATCGGACACATCGACTCCAGAAGCTTCGGTGCATCGTTTCTACGCGGCTTCAGATCCTGGTGTCCGCCAAGCGGTCCCGGAGCCAGCGCATGGAGCGACAAGCGAAGGGATAGGAGAGGGAACCGTGGTCTTCTCCTATCAGATCAGCTGTGGTAGGAATCGTATGATAGAGATGCTTGGGCCTGAAGTGTGTTTTGATCAGCTGTGGGCCTTCCTGTCTTAGAACAAATCCACCAAAGAAACACATGGAGAGAACATGTTTTCTCTCTACACTGTTCGTATTGATCATATTTATCAAACGACTCGCAAAAGTAAGGAGCCCACCAACAAACACAGTTTTTCAACATGAGATCTCAAATGCCTTGTGGTTTATTGTGTGCCTGGTGTGGTGGTGTTGCTACTTGGCGTCGTGGGGGTTCGTTGGCCGTCTGGGTCGGGTGCGCGTGAGCGAACCGGCGATGACTCCGTCTGCCGTTTGGTGTCCAAACGAGTGTTTGGTTTTGTGTTGTGTGGCCCGCGAACCTAGCTTGCCACAGAACATGCTCGAAATCTTGAGCGAGTGAGATAATAGAAACATGCCAAGTGCCAAGGGTACGCACACACGCACATAAATATATGTGATCTATGGGCCAAATGTGCTTTGAATTTGGATTTCTGCCACCTTCTTTAAAAAAGCGTGCGTCCTTCCACCACTTCCAGGGTGATCGAGAGATTTGGATAGCAGCGGCTCTCGAGTACACTTCGGAAGTCTTGCAAGAGTTGTTTCTGGCTCTCTTCCTGGCTTGCTCTGATCGAACATGATGCATCATGTTCCGTGATTGTTTTTATACCTTGGGGATCCTTGGGGGGTCTCAAAAATGGCAAAACACACACACACCGAGGATATGGCCAGAAACGTCAGGGGCCTGAAAACCAAAAACATGTCCATGACGTTTTTATAATCCTATCCTATCCTATCAAAAAAGGTCAACGGAGAAACCCAACATCTTGCAGAAAAAACAGGAAGGAAACGTCTTCCAGAAACGGATTTGCACCAAGACTATCCAAGACTTTTTCAATGGGCAAAACGGTTTAGACTGACCTGGTCGAACCTTTTGAAAAACCATTCCCAAAATTATTCCAGGATTCTTTGCTCCCGCAGGAGGCATACACGCAAGCCTCCAGTGGTGTCAGCGTTCGATGATGTTCTTCTTCAAGTCGGAAGAAGGCTTTGTTGTCCCAGGCCAAAGAAGGAGAACCCAACAGGAAGTACCTCTTTGTGTCTTGTGTGCTTGAATGTTCATGGCGTGTAAACGGCGTGTACCATCAGCTCAACTTAGTACACTCATCTTCCGTTCACTCCGTCGCATGTTCGGACATGCGGCGTGCGGCAAACGGTGCGACAAAGCACGGAGAATCATCGAGAAGAAAAAACACGTCGCCGACGCAGGCACGAAGACCTCGCCCACGTGGCGTTTTGGGAAGACCGATGCTTCGTTGACGAAGCAACGAACTTCGTTGTCAGGACTTGCTTCTACTCAAGACCCTCCACTGTGGTCAACTTCAATGTTTGTGCGCAGGTGATGCATCGTCCTGGAAAAGTGGTTTGTTTAGATGATTCTTTTGTTTTGCTCTTGGGCAGGTATTTCCAAGGAAAATAAAAAGGGAATTGCAAGGCAAAGGAGCGGAAACTCATTGGCCCCTTAAAAGTCAGATTTCATGGTAGGCTCTTGTTTTTGTCCTAGGGTGGCCTACAAAAGGCGCTCCTTCCTGCTCTACACTTTTGCTTGTTCCTTCCTCCCTCCCTGCCTTCCTTCCTTGCTTCCTTGGCTTCCTTGCGTCCATCCATTCTTTCCTTTCTTTCTTTCTTTCTTCCTTCCTTCCTTCCTGATGGTCCACTACCGCTCCCATCCCTCACATCTTGACCAGGGCTAGCAAATGTTAACAGTTTTCAGTTTTTGTCTAACTATTCATTTGAGGATTGCTTGCCTGTCCTTCAAGATGCAAACATTTCTAGAGCGAACAAGATCTATCCAATGATCCAATGGCCTTCATTGTGTGTGTGTGTTCTTTTTAATGTGCGCCGCAAGTCATGAAATCCCAAGATGTCTGTGGCAAACCCTTGCTGCAGGCTTGGTCTGCCAGCCACAGGGATGAGTCTGAAACCATCTCCAGCGAGGCACTGAAAGCAACGCGAGCAGCCTGCATCCAGCATTGCATGCGCTACTCCGGAGCCGCCAAACGACTTGCCGATCCTCACTTCACTAAACGCTGTTTCTAATGCCCAAAGGCCTTTCGTTCAAAGCGGGGTTCCAAATCTGCTGAATAGATCATCTGAATAGTTCGGTGCAAGCAACCGTAGATCTGAATAGATCTGAATAGTTCGGGGTTCAAAAAAACAAGCATTGTTTTTGTTTGGATGTTCCGTTTCATGGACCTCTGCGCACGTGGGCCAGCGTTTGTGGGTACAAGAAACCACGCCCTGGGGGCCATCCCCCGATCCGTCAGCTTTGGTTGGTGCCTCTGTTTGGAGCAAAGGGTTCAATCATCTTAATTACGCCCTTTTTAAACATACCTGGATCTAAGGTAGAATATGACGGAATACCTGATCATGAACCAATCCATCAGGAACTACTCATCCGTGTCCCATTCACTGACAATCCAATCATGTACTCACATACTTGGCCAATCATGCAGTATTTACATGCGTGTTTGGTGAGAAACGCGTTTGGATTCATAGGGTTTAAAATCCTCATGTTCTATTCTTCTCGGTTGGTGATCTCCATCTTCCCAAGATTCCAAGATCCTGACTCACATGACCACAGCCTGGTGATGCTTTATCAGCCTTTTCGGCAACTCTTGGAGTTGACCGGTTACTAGCTGTGTCAGTAGCGGCGCTCAAGTGTTGCCCATACATACAGGTTAGTTTGACCTCCTTGGGGGTCATCCAAAAAGTGATACACAGACCAGGTTGGTTCATTTTGGGGTCGGAAGGGTGACGTGTTGGGCTGTTCTGGGACCACTCTGAGCGTCAAAGCTCGTCCTTGCTTCGTGGTGCGGAAGTGGTGATCCACATATGGAACGACCATCGAGGACAGGAAGTCACAGAAGGTGCTCGCATGGCCAGAGACATCCTGGATGACATCGAGTGCCCAGGGTTGAAAATACAGTGGAGCCACATGTTGCTATGATAAACAGTTATATATAGCATCGAACAGCCCCACGCTCAAGAAAAAGGTCTTTTCATGTTACCCACGTGCGTGGTAGGTCCAAACAATTGGATATCTCTTGGATACTTTCAGGCCTTCAGTGAAGAAGCCCCTGGTGCACCCCAAGGGCTTTCGGCCGATGTGGGTAGGTAATCCCTGGCTCGAGTTGGACGAAGCTCATCCCACAGCTTTTTCACGTTGATGCCCGAGGAGTTCTGACAGTCCTGTCAGAAGTCATCCAGCGCTTTGGCCGGAGTTCACCACCGTCATCCAAACTCGGGGCCATGCCATCCACAAAAACACATGAAATAGTATGCATTATAATAAATACCAGCATCACCCAGTTCGGGTGGTTTATAGAATCCCCTGGCTATGCTATGCATGTTGCATCCAATAACCAGTAACCTATGCATTGTCAGGTCCACGCGATGAGTGGTTCACACTAGGGGCAATCCCCACATTTACTAATTCACTCTGCGCCATACAGTTGTTTTTTCAGGTTGCAATAGTTGAGCCTTAAAGCAACAGAAACACATGACTGGATCCCCCCTTAAAAAGATCAAACACAAAGATCTAAAAAAACACAGAAACCCAATCCTCTGACGGCCCCCTACTACTGGGGGCCCAGTCGGGTCCATCTTCGGTGCGTCCTTCTCGAGGTCTGCGGTGATGCCAACGATGATCAAGTCAGGAAACCAGGTGCTCCGCTTGAAGAAGTGTTCAGTGCGGGCCACGACCGCGAGCAGTGGGAAGAGGTAAGGTTCGGCATCTAAGGCATAGACCACGGGATAGCTCTCTCTGGAAGCCTCTGGATGGTTGTAGGAATGCGGCAGTGAGATGATCAGCTTGTAGTTCAAGCCTGAGATTCGGACACCAAGATCGCGGCCAAAAAGCACCCAAATCGGCCAAAACGCACAAAGAAAGTATCCAAACTCCAGGGTGGTCCTTGCCTGCACAACCCCGCAAGATCCCCCTTCGTACCGACAGCTAAGGTAGATCCCCAGGATTTTACGTATTAAAATCCTACTGAACCAAGGTGACTTTGTATTTTTTCATTGGTTCCCTAGCCTTTTTTTCCCAACGGGGGCTTTTTGTAAAATCCTTTGGACCGACGTGTGTTCAGGGGGTTGGGAACCAAGGAAAAAACAAGGAGTCCAGGCTGATCAAACGTTTAGTAAAATCCTGGGTATCTACCTTAGCTGGTCCCTCCAGTGCCCTCCCAAAGGCACTCAAGCAGCGAGCGTGCTTTTTCGACTGTACCACTGTTTACATTTAAAAAAACAAACGGTTACATGGCCCCATACGCAAGCCATCATTTGATTAAATTGATTGCAATCTTATGTTGTATATATGTGTATCTATCAGCCGAGCAGATACTGTAAGATCTGTAAGCAAATGCTGCAACGAAATTGGCGACAAGCACCCACAGCAAAAAGCGTCCTCTCCAGTATCTCTAGAATATCTAAAATCCTAGCTCAACCCCAGCATCTCTACCTTGTGAAATCCTACAATATTAGTGAAATCCTGTAGTCTTACGTGTTTTTGGAATCCTGGCGCCTTACCCTGAGCAAAAGGATTTCAAAAGAGCCCCATTTCTTGTGTATTTTCCTGGGGTCCTACCTGACTTCCTTATCAGCGAATTTGATCGAAAGTTTTTTTTCTGAAATATCACGTCTACCCCTAGGATTTCAGTATGGCGCAACCAAGGGGGATCCGCAAGCCTCCTTGCTAAGCATGTTTGACTGTTTTGAAGCTGCCTGATCTACACTAGGGGGAGCCCCTTATGACTCAAAAGTAGGTTCTCCTCACATAATTTCACAAGTTTCGTTCTTCTTTTAAACAACACCAGGGTCAACGCATACGAAGACCATTGCTTTTGCATGATGTTGCGCCCCTTCCAATCAGAACATCCAACTCCCAAACCACTCCAGAGCACCGCTCGACGAGCATATCCGCCGCACAATGCAGCTGTCAAAGACCAACGGCGCGGAGACACGTTCGTGGGACCACCGGCACGAACGTGGCCAGCATCCAGCGAGGCAGTCCCACCATGACATGCCGGTGGGCGGAGCGAATGCTGCAAAAGGAGGCGGCAAGGCAGAAAGCCGCTGACTTGCTGCCACCAAGGGTTTTTGGAGGTGGCTAACTTAGGAATTGAAACCCACTGAATACAGTACATCTGAATACACTGCTTCTGCAGGCGTTGCCATGTCGCTTTTTGATGTTTATTCTTCTTGCAGGGGGGTTGCATTACTGTTATAGCAAACTGATTTGGACTCGTGTCGATTATACACGTGAATCAAACCAACTTTTTGTAGGGCTTCCGAGCAAGAACAGCTCATCAGTTTAGAGCTTTGTCCTCTCCACCTGAACATCCTGCGTTCAACCATATAAAAATAGTTATACCTGGAACCTATCAAAACAAAGGTCATGTCTGGGTTCCAGGTATATCCCAAACACTCCATGTATATGTCATATTTACCTACATTGGGGTGGTTTGAGGGGTCAATGGGGCGGCATATATGGCAGTTTGGGATTGCTTTGGGATGTCTCAAACTAAAGGTGCTGCCCACATACCTCAAACCAAGTCAGGCAAAACCCCTCAAGTGGCGCCTTCCCCTTTGGTCATTCGTTTTGGACCAGGTGTGTGACATGGCTTTGTGGTGAGTCTGACCATGGCTTTGGACGGGGCCCGAAAACCGGACACTCCTATCTCTGGACTCCCAGCTTGATGGCATGGCCCATTTGGATCTTGCCTCACGCTGGATCTGAAAAACCCAGAGAGCGCTCCAGGTCCCGCCCACAGGTCCCACAGGTCCCGCCCACAGGTGGGTCGACTAAGTTGCGTCTCGCTCGTCCCGGTCCAGCGTCTGGCCGGATCATCAGGACACTGAGATGTGTCTAGATGTCTTTCTGCTTTCGGACGAAAGGGATGCTTCTTTGGCTCCAAACATGTGCCGCGGTGTGCATGTATGAAAAAGCATCCCAACATTGGATGAATGAGGAGAGTCGGAGCCTGTTGGAAAAGAGCCATTCCACCGGTTCGTGCTACCCAATCAGCACGCCCAGTAAACACCTCCCAAAGAATTCGTATGAAGCCTCATCCAGCTTCGACGCGATGGCATCCAGCTGCTTCTGTGCCACATGAACCTGAGCGATGAAATCACCCAACCCAATTCAGCGCCTGTCCTGCTTTGAGTTCAACCCTCCAGGGTGGAGTAGTGTTTCACGAGAAGGGGCGGGGAATTTTCGCACAGTTGCTTCTTCAATCTTCTGACCGCATGGCCCACACGTGGCGCGCCAGCGCAGGCGCAGGTCGTCGCGGCGCTGGGTCGTGACATCGGCTGCCTGAGGTGAGGTGACCGGTGGGGACCGGTGGTGATGCAGAGCGAGGTCTAAGGCTGTTGCATGAGGTAGGGCTTGGAAGGCGCCAGTGGAGAGCACCAGTTTCACCGTCCGCGCTGCTTCTTGAAGAAGTCGTGACTCCTTTCGCCCAACCGGCTGGATGCAAATTGAAACCTGGTCCCTCAACGAAGGGTATAACGGTATAACTAGCAGCCTCGCAAAAACATGCACAAGACTCTATCCTCCTGAAGGAACTACCATGACCCCGCAAACTGCTGCTGGTCAAACCTTTCAAAGAAAACGTCACTCCGCAAAATCTGCATGTCCTGGGTAGTCACCTACCCTACTAGTAGCACCTACCCTACTAGTAGCAAGAAGCTACTAGTAGCTCCTGGCATTACATTGGCATTACTACTTATAGGAACAAGGACGCTACCAGTAGCTCCAGGCACCAGGCACCGCCCATCAGCGCCCATCGCCGCCATCGAACCATGGATTCGTCTCTTCTCCTAAACGATTTTGTCGCCTTTCACACGTGTTTTTTTTATCGCAAGTCGGAGTTCTACTTAACTTTCATGGACACCTGGTGCACCACTTCGGCACTCTCAGATTCTTTCACGCTCCAAATGACCGTCCTCCTGCAGCTGCAGGTCGAAATCTACTGCCTCCTCTTGGGAAGGCTCCTCCTTGTCCTTGTGGCAGGTCGAACGCGGCGTCTCAACTGAGAGGAGGCCATCATCGAAGGCAATGAACCAATTGAATGCAACATCGTATAGTTTACAGTTCATATATACCCAACGAACTCCGCGTACGATGCAAATGAGCTTGTTTCGACTGCTTCTTTTAGGGCCACAGCGAGCGACCGTGTGACACGTTCGAACAGCTCGCCAACACCCGGACGACCTTGGAGGTCCCGGGTGGAGTTCCAAAGGAAAAAAACGATGAAAGTACACATCCCATAGGATGAGGTCTCCAGGATGAAGTGGTCTGTGACATCCTTGACATATAACATGATCAATATAATATGATGGTCTCCGGTCTCGTTTTTGCCTGTGACCTCTACCATCTCACCATAAGCATCTCAAAATTCTGAAATGACCGAGCAACCCGGCCTCAGACTGGACAGGGTAGCTGAACACTACTGGAACCGGCTGGGGCACGGCAGCCTTGGGGCGTCGCCTCAGCAAGCGATGGGCTCTTCGAAGTCTCGACAGGTTCCAGGTCTGGCGTTCTATATGTTTGATACTATGAATTCCCTGCCCCAAAGCAATCCCAAACACTCCATGAAACTGCCATTTATGCCGCCCCATTGATCCCTCAAACCACAACCCCAATGTAGGTAAATACGACCGTCCCGTGGAGTGTTTGGGGTTTAGGTTTTGCTTCGGATCCGGGACCCGTGGGCCCGGCGGCCCTCATCAAAACATGTATGTCTTCGATGATCCAAAGACGGTCTGAAGAACCGCCGCAACCGGCAAAACATGGTGAAACAACCACACATGTATATCACATAAAACGGAAGTCGTATGATGATAAACCATGTAAACCACACCTGCTGGCCCTTCCCGCCCAAATCCTGGCACCAAACCACGTGGGACCAAAGCACCAAAACACCGCGGTGACAATGACCGCGCCGAGCAAGGCGGAGGCCGCCGCTAGGTCGAGCTTTAACCTGCCACTGGAAGGCTCTGAAAGGGTTCTAGAAATTGGAAAAGTTCTGAGAGGTTCCAGGGATTTCAAACTGGAAATAGTGGATTGAGAGTAGATGGCACAGCCCCCAATGTCGGTGGTTTATCTGGACCCCCATCTGTTCAGGACCTCGGGTCTGTGCCATCAACCTCTGATGGCCCACTGTAATTTGGGTGTGCATTAAATGGGAGAACCCCGAACCGAACGAGTCGACGCGTAGAAGAACGAGTCGGGTTCACTGACCTAAACCGAACCCAGGGAGTCGGGGAGCGAGTGAGCTTGCTCGCGGGTAAGCTCCCGAGGTCACGGAGCGAGTCAGAAGAGCTACACGAATGCAGTTCGGGCTCTTTCTCCAAACATACCCAGCATTGCCCTTGGATGTTTGACATGAATTTCCATGAATGTCCTATGCGGTTCGTGCCCATTGCCTCATCAACAAATCAGGTGCCAAAGCAATCATGCCTCCACTTGCAGGAGAAAGACCGATCTTCCCATGGTCATCAACAAAGACCATGTCCTGTTGTGTTTGGGGGCTTTTGAAAATTGGAATGCGCGACCCAAGAAGCTTGGAAGGAATTTGCACCTGCACAGGCCCAATGTCGCAGGAGATTGAAATGATTTGAAGGCCTCCCACCTGCCAAAAGAATCCAAAAGGATTGCCAAACACTCCAGCATACACCCCAAACCCTTTTCCTGGCCTGGTAGCTGTAGAAATGGCCATGGCGCCATTGCGAGGAAGTGGGGGGCACATGAAGGAGTTCGATGGATTGAAACAAACCATGTATTGACTTGAAAACTGTTCATGGTCAGGACATGTCAGGACTACTTTTCTCATCTCTTCGTCCAATCTCTGACCAAATCGACGGCCGTGCTGTACCCATCTGACATGATGCACGTTGAACATCTCATATTACAGGCCCTGGCACTGAGACATCATTGACATAATCATTCAGATTTAAAACATTATAATATATATATATATATTAATTTTCTTGTGGCCTCGCCGCCTTCGCCCTTGAGCCCAAAGGAGCGCCAGAGTCGCATCCGCCCTCCCAATCGAATTTGCACCAGGTACGACACCCTGACGCCATGTCACGCCGCAGTCCAAGCATGGTTTCAACATGTTTCAAGTCACTTGAAGAACATATTAGTCAGTGGGTTCAATGATCGGTCAATAAACATAGACCACGCTAACACCCGACGGCAATGCCGTAGACGGCCGCCGTGTTCCGAGAACCGTGGACCCCTGGACTGGCGTGATACGATCTATACGTCTTTACTGCATGGTATGATACGTGGAGAACACCTTTGGGCCTTCTCAGGACAATATGGAACTGCAAAGCATGTCCTTTTTGAAGACTTGGTTGGCAGTCTTTTTGGCGTGCCCATGATTGCTAATGTTGTCTGACTATATCTCCACATCTCTTCGCATCCCCAGTGCATCCCATAGGTTCAATTAGTCTCAAACATCAACATGAGGAGCCGGAGCACGTGAGGCAACGTCCAATGAACATGATGATCCAGGGCTGTAGTAGGGCCCTGTAGCAGGGCTTGGAGTTCCCAGCAGCGTCCACCTGGTCATCTGTGACCTCACCACCTGGCCCGATAGTGCACCTGCCGCCGGGAGCCGCCATCTTTTTCGCTAGTCCTCCTCCGAGTCTGAGGCGACCTGGAAGGTGGAGAAGTGTCCAACCCAAACCACCGACGACCGTGGACCGGTCTCTCTCTCGGCCGACGGTGGACTGGTGGACTCGCTCCAGGTGTACAACCCATTCCCCATCGAAATCAAGACTCCCATCTCACCCAAAACACTCGGATCCTGCATGTCCTTCGCCTCGTTGCTGGTTTGGGGCAGCCAAACCCAGCGTGTCGCTCCGGCATCGCTCGGTCGCTCGGCCCGTATCGCTCCGCTCCAGCTTCGGCTGTTCTGAGCCTCTCACGATGCCATCGAAGCGAGAGTAATCCAAGACCTCGGCGCGGAGCGGAGCGCTTGGGTTTTGACACGGTCAACCGGTCAACCGGT